GTTCAAACACCTGTGAGAATAATTTTCAATAAAAATAGAGTAACTAGTAAAAATGATAACGCAAATTTTATCTCAAAGGGTTATGAGTTATAATCCTTGATAATAAATTATTTTTTTACAGTTTTCTTCAGACAATTATCAATCGATTTTCAGGAAGCGCAAGTGAAACTGCTGGCTGGCATCATCGCCTTTTCTATTAGTGTGATCTGTCTGATTCCTGCAATTTTTATTTTGTGGTTTTTTCGGTGAGTCTTTTCTTTGGTTACTTCTTAATTATCGAATTTATTGATCCAAGTGGGACATTACATTCGCATTCCGCCGACACACGCGAACTAATAAATTTGACAAGACACGCTCCAGCACTGCAAAGTTAAATTGAATAGGTCCTGGTGCGAATGTCGCGCACATGACCCCGATTGCATCCCCTTTTTGCGGTCTTCACCGCAAAGTGGAAGTAACCTCCCACACATAGGTGTCGGATTATTATTGAATTTTCATTTTTCACATGAATATTTCTATGAAATGGGGAAATTGAGGATTCATCGGAGAACCTTAGGCTCCCTAAGTATTTCCCCAGAGCTTTTAAAAGTAACGTGGCATTCATGCGCTTACCAAGCTGCCATTATTCTGACTTATAGTCTCTAACTTCCACCTAGAACTACTGTAACGCTGTGGGCTTAGTCACGCGCCCACTCAGATTCGTATACTCCTTGTACCACATAATATGCTTCAAATTGGTTACGCATAAATGGTGTGGTTACTATGGTATCCCATATTTACAGGGTTATTAATGGATACCTTTTTCGGAGGTAATTTCCTCAAGCTTATTGCCTATAGCACCAAAGGGAACCAGAGATGTAAATAAGTCAGCCAAAGGTATGGCTCTCTGACCAGATTTCAGTAGCTGCAGCCTGGTCGCGATACCGTGAACCCTGATTACACAAAAGTCACATGTCTTTACCCTTCACATAACTTTCCCAAAGCGCAATTCGGTCTCGGGAGAGCATTTTGTTTCCATGGATCATTTGCCGATGCCTCCTGTAGAGACCTGTAACTTCTTGTAAAGCTATGCCATAGCAGAAGCTTAGCTTACACATTACAAAAACCTACAGGTATCACCTAGGTGAGTGTGTAATTTAACAGGAATTGAGAAAGAAGGAAAGCGAAAGTGCAAAATGTACCTCCCCCACTGAAGCCTTCTCCAATAATGTGCTTTTTTCAGGCCGTTACGACATCAGCCAATGTTCATCGTTCATCGCCATCTGCTCACTTCATTCGTTCTTTCGGGTCTTTTCTACCTGTTCAACTGTTTTTTCTATGTAGTCGACGGTGCACCCGGCGACACACTAATTTTTGCAAATCATGTGAGTTAAAGTAATATTGCTTGAGTTAAATATTTACCATCGTTAATGTTACCATCGAAATTGCTTACAGTTCACCAGAGTAAGCCTAACAGGACGCTCCCGCGTGCGATTGCGTCGCTATCTTTAGGCTATTCACTGTGAAAATAGACTGCCACTTTGGAATGAAAGTGGTAGCATTTGTAAAATTGTAACGTTTTTAAGAAAAAGTTTTGGTCTCCTGCTACAATGGAACCTCTTTCAGACGCTCGGGCAAGTTACAGTCACGTTCGCTACGGCATATCAGGGGGAGGGCTGGGTTGGCGCGATGCCAGTCCGTTCTCTGATAAGAATCTGTTCTGACAAGAATCTGCTGAAAACGGGCTGGCGCTGCGCCAAACACCCATCTCTCCTGGCTCACCTCAGCATCCGCAGCGAACAAGAGTGTGTAGTAGGCGGGGTGTGGATGGGCTCATTTCAGGTCATTGCATACAGCGCACAAAAAGCACTCGAAGCTTCTGGACTGCGTGACAGTAGGATGGGCGGTAGGGTACACCACAGCTGGACGAAGCTCATCGGAGAGCGTCTTATTCGGTTTAAGAGAAGGAGATAGTGTTCAGCCTCGAGGGGAAATTTTCTGGTTGCTGGTTATTCCCGTTCCATGGGAATAATCAGTATTTACCAATCAGGATTTTCCCTTACCACGCGGCAGTCCGTCAGGTCACGTTGTATGTGGTGGATCCCCAGCGAAGGGGGTCGTATTTGGTCCGCGGGAGGAGAGACGTGATTGCATCCGCTTTTGAAAAAACGTTAACTTGCCATGGTTTTTCCAGCCTCAGATCAAGTCTTTTTCCAGTCTTCCCCCACCTCGCACAACGGTAGACTTTTGGAAAGAAAAACCCGGAAAGTGGGAAGAAACTGAGAGAATCTAGGAACATGGGGAGCGGGGGATGGGGAGGGTTACCGGAAAGGAAAATTTCGGGAGGGAAGTCGTATTTTGCAAAATCTCCTCCAACGTCAGAATGGCCTCGTTGCTCCTACCCACTGTATTGGTAATCTCCACTCAGTCATCACCATTTCCGAGGTTCAGACCAAAGAAGTCGCGGCTATTTATATGAGATGCTGTTCTTGATTCTGGTTGCCACGGCCAGACTATGGTCGCCCGGAGATTCCATGCAGAGCCATGTCCCAATGGAATTATTCACGCGATACTCTATTGTGCTTCAACACAAGCTTAACAATGGAGCGGCGACACATTGCCACTCGAGAGATTCGAACTCTGGTTTATGCTCTAGAAATCATCCCAAAGGGACTTCTGGAATAGCTTAGGCGCAGAAATTCTCAGTGATTCTCCCACATAGGATCAGAGTCGTGGTTTTGCAAATGATCCGGGCCGTTGGCTTATGGGTGAACCATTCTCAATATCCAAGTTAGCCTCGGGTAAATGATCCCAGAGAAAAAGTTATATTTATTGCAGATCTCTTGTCGATTGCTATTTCTCGTTCAATTACGCTTCCTTCGTCTGG